CTGATGTTTCTTCACAGATGCTGCCAGACCTGCTGAGCTTTTCCAGCAACTTCTGTTTTTGAGCGTAGAAGATGAGGCATAGAAATTTGCACCTACCTTCAGTCAGAAGTAAATAATCTATCTTGTTATCTTCTTGAGCTTAGCAACATTACAGTCTTTAGACAATTCAATGCACTTTAGCCAATTCAAATTTTACGAAGTGGCACTTGCTCATCAGTAGTATATTCATTGATATTAAATTTGGGTTCTGCAGAACCCAGTCTGCTTCATATCTCATTACATTGTTTTTCCAAATTTGGGTAAAAGAGACAAATTCTAGAGATAAGATGAGAGTTACTTCCATTGACATCAAGCCAGTATTTGACCAAGTGTGAAATCAAGAAGCCCAAATAAAAGCGAAAGTCAAATGGAATTGGGGAAAACTCTCCACTGGTTGGAGTTGCATTTTGCACAAAGGGCATTTGTCTTCTATAAATGCAACCAGTCATTTTGGCCCAAATGGCATAGTTGCAGGAATGCCTCGGGTAGTGGCCTCGGCCAAACCAGCTTCAGCTTATTCGTCGATGATCTCCCTCCCTAATTAGATTAGAAATTGGGATTATTGCTCAGTGTTCAGTACTATTTGCAAATCCTTTGATAATAAAGTAACATGTGCCGACATGCAGCAAACCAGGATAACTCTGTGGCTGGGAATGCTGTGTGGCAAGTAACAATCATGCCACACAAGTGCCAGGCAATGATCATCGTCAACAATGTTTTCCATCTATAATGCACACTGCAAGAACTTTTGACTGCGTATTCCAAATCCGTGACCTCTAATGCTTGGAAGCACAAGGGCATCAGGCGCATGGAAACAGCATTATCTCCTTGGGAGCAACTGAGGATGTAAAATAAATGCTAGCCTCAGTAGTATTGTCCATATCGCATGGAAAAATAAAAATGAAACTGATTACACTTCCAAAAAATGGTTACACACAAGTGATCTATAGTGATGAGTGTGGATAACATTAGGTATTACCCAGTACAATTTTTAAATTCCTGAATAAAAATTAAGTTGACCTAATGACAGTAAAAATGTACTTGATTGTTTACAACAACCTCAACATCCTCAAATCATTTAGGAGTAAGGTGTTCTTATTAGATCGTGATGTAAAGTCGGTGTTGTGTTCCTGAAAATTACATCTATAAGTGAAAAGACTTTTTTATTCCCGTAAAAATCAGTTTTAGAACTAGAGTTGGGATCCATAGAAATACTGCAGGGCTGTGAAGTGGCTGGGCCAGGTAGCAGCCTTGGAGGATGGTCTGGGGCCTGTTAGGGAAGGGACAATCTTGGAATGGCCTCAAGACTGAGGTCCAAGACTGGTCGTTCCAAAATTCCACCATTTAGGTCAGGTAAGATGCTGGCGTGCAGTAATGTAACAAATGTTAATATGAATCTTATGACACTCAACAGAGTTTCTAGTGCTAATAATTTAGCAATGTTACAGCGAAATAACACTAAACAGATAGCATTAAGTGCAGACACCCTGTACATTAGTACACATTCTGTGTGCTAGATTTTAAGGCATGTTTTTGGATGGTTTAAACCCAACTGGCAGGACTGCAACCATAGACCAGGAAAAGTTGCCTAACAGGAAGGCAGAAACATAATTCAATACTAAGGAATTAGGTAGGGCTGGTTAACTGCTGCCAGAGTTTCTGGAAGTTTTGTGACAGACTTGATGGCTGGAATTCAGCCACACAAATGTTGCCTATTCAAGCTTACATCTCAGAGACTGATTTCACACCAGGTATGATAATAGAATGTTGTTGATGATCAGAGAAGGATTATAGTATAAAGTCAGACCATATAATCATAGACCTCTACAGCACACAAGGCCTAACAAACAGTCATTTTGGATGATGTGGAGAGGGAAAAGCCCAGATATGATATTGCAAAGAACTTCCGTTGTGCATAATATGTGAAAGACTTCTGAATTTATCAGGTGATAAATGCAGTTAACAATCTCCCCAAAGACAATCAATAATCACAACTAGGTATGTGGAAAAATTCCTTGTTAAAATGTAATGTTTATACCAAAATAACCTGATGGTGAATTTGTATACCTTTTCTCCTCTCCACTCTTAAAATGCGTTAGATAAGTCTATTTTCTGTATGATTTTACCCACTGACTGTTGTGATATTTTGATGATCAACTGTTTACCCATGAAAAGTGTTTTTTGTGTTCGAGTTAGTAGCTTGAAATAATAAACAACAGTTAACCTTCTCATGTACTTTCGTAATACTGAGCTAGCATATTTCTTCATTTTAAATAGGGCTCATTATATTAGCGGTATTAATCTCTGTTCAACTAAGTAGTCATTTACGTACTGGATGATATCAGATCTGGCATGGAGATAGATTGCTTGCTAATGTTTACGGCATTAAAGGAAATGTCCAAACTCAAAGCTTTGTTGTGCATTGGTATTTTCCTAACTTTGAGCCAGGAGGCCCAGATTTAAGTCCACCTGTTCCAGAGTTTAGTTAGAAAACCTCAAACCTATTCTTGTCTCATTTTGGTATTTTAATCCAAGGTTGGTCCTTCAGTCCAACATGATTGGCCTCCTCTATAGGCAGACCCCTTGATAATTTGCTTGAATGTAGATTAATGTGGTGAGACTCCGGATTTAAATAGAGAGTACATCTGGTCATTCTATACCAGACTATATTATCACAAAAGCATCTGACCAACCCTCCTGCCTCTGTTCTTAAGTTTATGATGATCAAAAAACGTATTTCTCAACTCTGTTAGGTGGACAACAATGCACAGGATTTGAACTGTTCATCTGTGATGCAAATGTACTGTTAATAGCACAACGGTACACTTGTATTTGAATAGAGAACAGCTTTAATGACAGGTCAGCACTCAATATGCTAAAAATTGCAACACCCTTTTGAATAATTTCTGTGTCCCTGAAGTACATATCAGTCCAAGAGATGAATAGATGTATTTCCATCTGCAATTATACAGACTAGCTGTAAACAACTATAGCAAAGGAAAATCTAAAACATATTATACCACTGACACCAATGTACCATTTTTTTCTCTTGAATATAGATGAAGCTGGCTATTATTTAAGAATTGTGTGGTGAAAAATCCATGAACAGTATTTAAAAATCAATTTTGTGTGCTGCAGTACCAAATGTCCAATCACCAAAAACTTTCATATTGCAGTCCAACGTTTACATTTTACACAAACTATTTTCGGTAACAAAATGTGCAAAGGTGGGTAGAGGCGGATTCAATTGTGACATTCATAAGAGAATCAGATCATTATCTGAAGAGCAAAAAAATATGCAGGACTATGGGCAAATGGGACTAGGTGACTTGTCCTTGCAGAGAGCAACCACAAATGGTGGGCCCATTGGCCACCTCCTGATCTGTAACCAGTCTGTGTTTCAGTGAAAAGCTTAAAGAAACTACTGACACAATGACAGGTGTATTACCGAGTGAAATTATTAACTAACTTTTTCACCAATTAATATCAGGAACATGTAAATAAAGACAAAGAACTGCAGATGCTGGAACTCTGAAGCACAGAAAGTACTGAAGAAACTCTGCAGGTTTGGCAGCATCTGTAGAGAGAGGAGCGGATTTAATATTTCGAATCCAGTAACCTTTTACTGATGATGCCAGACCTGCTGAGTTTCTGCAGCAGTTTCTGTTCCTGTTTCAGGAACATTTAGTTATATATTTTGGAGGAAAGAGAAGGTCCTGCTATACTACGTCAGTTTACTTTTCAATCAGCAGAGTTCAGTCTGTTTGTTAACCTATGGGGAAAAAAGTCCAGATCATTGACGACCTTTTGCGGAGGGAATTGGGTACTCAGAAGGAGCTCCTCTTGGGGTTGCGCCTGGCCATCAACTGGTACAGACAGAAGAGGTCAAGGGAATCATTTGATGTAACCTCTTGTCCATCTTCTGCAGTTACTTTTGTACCCAGATGTCACAAGGAAGGGAGCATGCAGCAACTACTGGTATGCTTGAGGTCTTCTGAGCACGTTTGGGATTGGAATGCATTATTATCAGGATGTAGTAAATTTTCTTCACATTTTCTCTTCTTAGCTTACTGATTGTAACAGGCCAAGTAGAGACCTGTATTATCTGTTTGATGTGATAAATGCTCACGATAGGTCAAAATGAGGTAGTCTACAGAAAATTTTCCTGTTTAATAGTATAATGAACATCTTATTTTTAATTCTAATTAAAATATCTGTGTTTATACTTCTAGATTCTGATGCATTAAACCATAACACCTGGCTGTGTGACAAAAAACATTTTTCTCCAAAGCTGTTGCCAGGTAGGTGGAAAGTTTTTTTTTGTTGTATGACTTAATTTCATAGTAAAAACTATACTAGAGCATGCCAGTTTCCTTTTGAGTTACAGCTGTTAGCCAACGTGAATGTTGCATGCAGCTTTGTGATTTATAGAGTACTCCATAGCCTGGACTGCCAGATGCCTGTCTGGTATGCTTTGTACATAATTAGAATTTCAACTTCAATCCTGTACTCAAGGATGTATGTAGCACTCTAACGGCAATGCCCTAGCCACCTGCTCACCCATTTGTGAACCTTGGCTATTATCTGGAATTATTGTCTAGAAATGGTAGCTGAGTAAATGCTTGAGTCTCACCCAAAAATAACCCCTCTTTTTTTGTTCCAAGGCTTTTCTCCCTCCACGCAAGGCTGATTTTATATACACACTCTCAGTCTGTGATATACAGTCAGTATTTATTTTCTGAAATGCCTCCATATTTGTCCACAAGTTTGAGAGGTTGTTTTATTCATATTTCTTTTAAAAGGGAGCTTAATGTTAGTTTATAAACTGACAATTGCTAGTTATAATGAGAATTTACAAAAAATTTGTATGCTTGAACAATGATGTTTGCAATTATTCTGTATAGTACAATTTTCCTGTTATATCAGTTCTGCAGTGTTATACCATAGGCAGCAATGCTGATATGAAAATCATGCAGTTTTGTAATCACAGAACTTTTTAAAATTGAACAATGCCCCTAATCTTCAATAACATCAGCATTCTAATTCCTCATATGATTGAATGTAACGTAAATTTCAGCAAAGTGCGTCTTTTTTGTTTCTGTGTATGGAAAGGCAAAGTCAGCATTAGAATTTCAACCCCAATCCTGTACTCAAGGATATATGTAGCACTCTAACTTGGGCAGCACAGTGGCTCAGTGGTTAGCACTGCTGTCGCACAGCACCAGGGACCTGGGTTCAATTCCACCCTTGGGCGACTGTCTGTCTGGAGTTTGCACATTCTCCCCGTGTCTGCGTGGGTTTCCTCCGGGTGCTCCGGTTTCTTCCCAAAGTCCAAAGATGTGCAGGCTAGGTGGATTGGCTATGCTAAATTGCCCGTACAGTTCAGGGATGCGTAAATTAGGTGGGTTATAGGGGGATGGGTCTGGGTGGGATGTTCTGAGGGTCGGTGTGGACTTGTTGGGCCGAAGGGCCTGTTTCCACACTGTAGGGATTCTTCTGTAACATCTACATTATTTTGAAATTCTTATTGTTGTTCTACTATTACGACTATAATGCCACTGAAATGTGGAAAAACTATATTTTAGAATGTTCAACTGTAATTTCAGGTCCTTTTAAAATGAAAGTTAATTGAGCTATGGAAATGGTCAAGTGAAAATCCACTGATATGGTTCAGAGAATGAGAGTCAGTTATACTTATGAGAAAGACTTGAATTTTGTTTTACTGGAATGGAGAGAACTAGAAGAATTCTAATTGAGGGTTTCAACACAAACACTTTTAAAGACTAAACATGAAAATTCATTCCTCTGTTTGGCAAGCCACAATGGGAAAGCATGGATTCAGCACGTTCACAAGAAAACCATAAGGGAACGTTGGAAGAAACGTTTAACCACAAATGGCCGTTGACAGGGAATGTATGGTATCATTCAGAGGGGAATTAATGAAGAAGGGGAGAGGGATGAAACATGAAGCAGAAGAATAACATTGGAATAGATTGTTCTAATTGAAGAATCATCACTGGTAAATTGTCAGTGTAACAAATGAGTTTGATACATTTTGGTGTTGTATTAAATTTATAATAGTTTCTAAGCTTTTTTTCTTTACTGGTTCTTTTTCCTTTTTTGTTTCTCATTTGATTCTTTTTTTCATCCTACCTGTATTGTGTTCTTTCACTCTTTGTATGCAGTCTACAGATTTACATTGCGCAACCCATATTGGTAAAATGTTGACAGAATCCCATTACAAAAGTCTTTTTCAGGCAATAAAATCTACAACCATCGCGGTTTGATCAGTTGGCACCATTAGTGTTTCCACTTAGCATTTAACACTACATATGCTCAAGAAAACAATTCAAGAAAGCGTAGGCAGCTGGTAATGCCTAAGGATGAATAATAAATCAGTACAATTTAGTGGTGAATGAGTGGCTTGGTGCATCTGAAAAGGTTGATTACGTAAGAAATGTACTTAAATGCATGTAATATATTATCAATTATTTCCTGTTATCTCCTTTGGTCAATAACTTGTTGGATATGAGAAATGCTGCTTGCTACTATTCACAAGTAACCATTATTCAGATATAACTGTTGATTGCTGCAGAATGCATCACTGGCAAACTTCACCTTCACCTGAGGTCCATGTGCACAAATTTCAAACAAAGGTTTCAGCAGAATAATTGGGAGAAAGAATGCAGACTTTTTTTTAAATCCTTTTCTACTCTGAAATCATAAGTCTTGTTAAAAATTTTGTATGTGATGAGCAGTACTTTTACCATGACAAGGCTATTGATCATGCAGCTAACCCTGTGAGCCACCTTGGAGAGGTGCACTCAACACTTGGTTATATTTATCTATTTAAGAAATGCGAAAATATGATTCAAGGTAAAGCAGCTTTACTGTGGGACAATTCTACACGTCAGTTCAAAAGCCCCTTTGTACTTTCATATTTATTCAGAACACAGTTATATATTTCATGGAAAGATGTAGAAGTGCTTGAAGGCATAGTATTTCATAAATGAAGATTCTTTATATCCCATTAAAAGATTATTTCTGTAAGAAAGCCAGATAATAATCTTGTTATATTTCTATGTAAATTTCTGATTCTTACTAGAAAACCTGGGCAAACCTCAGCCCTAAATTTGGTTATGAAAAATTGGTAAGTAAATCTATACTGACCTCTGGTAGTTAGGTTTGGTACTGCATTTGATGGGGCAAATTGATTGTAAGTAACTGGTGGCTTACTGAGAAACTTGTATATGAAATTGGGTTTTACTTATAAGGTAATAATTTTTAAGTGCATCATTTTTTACGACATACTCATACAAATTCTCGTATATTTGCTTGAGGTTTTTCTCTATTCTATTTTTTTTAGCCCTTGTTATCTACCCACCCATTCACCCCACTGCAGCACACCAACTGAGAATCATTAGGTGTTGTTCAGCATTCCTTCACCACCATTACACTTGTTAGCTGTCAGTGGGTACTGAGCAATCAGGGCAACTTTGCTGCCATCTGTCAAAATCCAGCAGCATTTCAGTAACTCAGCAAAATAAAAGCAGTCTGTATCCCACAGTTCTGTGATGTTGTATATTTGTATTTCAGTGTGTTTGCTCATTATGTTGTCCTTTTTTTTAAATAAGGAATGGTTTAAATGGTAGCATAATAAGTATATTTATTGTTATTAATGCATGCTATTTGTTATCAGTGAAATTTTTTTAAAAGTAGAACTTGTAAACTTGTGTGGGACATGAAACAGAGTACTGTTCCATTGTAGCATCTACTTATGATGCATCAAATTATGAAAATCTGACCATGCTTGAATTACATTTATAAAAACCAAAAGAACTGTGGATGCCATAAATCAGGCACAAAAACAGAAGTTGCTGAAAAAGCTTGGCAGGTTTGGCAGCATTTGTGAAGCAAAATCAGAGTTGACATTTCGGGTCCGGTGACCCTTCCTCAAAACTCTGACCTCCTGAAGAGAGAGCAGTTTAGGATAAAGGAAGAGAGAAGGGGTAGTTGCTTAGAGGTTGATTCTGATTCCAGTAAGTGATTTGATTTAACTACAGATCAGTGTTTAGTGCCTAAAGTAACAGAGGATAGAGTTAATCAGACAAATCATACCTTGCGTAAGTACAACAGGGTAATACAACAGAATGCAGGATATGGTGTTACAGCTGTAGCTGCAGATTGTTATATTTATTAGTGAAGGTATTCTGTTGTCATTTTTAAAAAGTTATTTGGCATGACATCTGAAGAACTAATATTGACTGCTTTTATTATGTAAACCTGGAAGTATTTTAGATTGCAGTTGCATTATTTGTATCTAGATTGTACCATAAGCTGTAAAAATGTTTTAAGATACAGTCTCTTGTTATGACATTTCTCGTTATCAGCGACAATGATGCAGAACAATAAAGACTCATAGTTTCAGTTAAAATATGTATCAGCCATGCATTTTGCAACTGTTCTCAGCCAGTCAAATCCTTATGTAAAACTTAAGCCAATTAATATTGCAGCTGTGAATGCTACAGAGGCTCTCCAGTTTCAGAGGTGAAAAGGGAGTCATATTTAGTGCCTGGTGGCTTCCTGCTGTGATGACATTATTGTCTATGTCTTAAGAGGTCTAATAATAAACTTCCACCTTGTGTCTAGCAAATTAAAAGTTAGCATATCCATTCTCCTATAAAAGGAAAGAGGACCACTGACTAACTTTTGGCATTTTTCTCTTTAGTGCATAAATAAATTACGTGCATTTATGGTTCAAATCAGTTCCTTTATCTACAGTGTACAAATGAAATATGTCAAACATCTAGACTTCTCCAGAGAACCTGATTTCTTCTCAAGTAATGCTGCAACTTGAAAGATAGTAAACTTAAAACAGCATGTTATTTTCAGACCGTTGAAGTTATACCACATGCTCCAAATTTGCTCGTTATGCATTAAATCTACAGTGTCTTCCCTTCAGGTAGTTGCTTTTCAATTTGTGTCTTTTTCAGTTTAGGATTAGTGATATAAGTTTCAATCAAGAGCAATTTGTCGAATGTGAACAAACCATGAAAATATTTCTGATGATAATCTATGCAATTTTCCAAACTTCTGGACAGGCTATGTATTGTTATGTAGTGCAATGTGCATGCTTCTTAAATTATAAGGGGATGAAAGATGTAGAATATTTTAAAAAATAGATCAGAAATTTATTTGGAACATTAATCAAAACATATCAATTCCAAGAAAGCATGTGATTGCATTCTAGTGCCTGGCAAGAACCCCTGTAATGTTAATGGATGAAAAGTTTATGCTCTTG